GAGAGAGAGAGAGAGAGAGAGAGAGAGAGAGAGAGAGAGAGAGAGAGAGAGAGAGAGAGAGAGAGAGAGAGCGAGAGAGAGTGATCAAGAGAGCGAGTGGGAGTGAGTGGGAGGGAGGGGGAAGTATAAGAAGAGAGGGAGAGAGTCGTAAGCTAATTTCCCCTGTGTAGTTTCCGTGTGTTACCTGCATTAAGCACCTTTGTTTTCTCGTCTGCCCACAGATGTGATAGCATAGAGAAGCTGCAAGCCAAACTGGAATACCTGCGATCACTGCTCAATGACGCTATACAGTTTAAAAACATATATAGATATGCATTTGATTTTGCGAGGGTAAGTCCTTGTTCCTAACCTCCCCAGCGCAGTAGTGAGTTCTTGTGCCACTGGCAGTATGAAATCAGTATATCAGAAATTACTGCTTGTTTAACTAGACAGAGGGCACTCAAAGAGAGTGCATACCTCCGCGAGCGTGTAACATGTATACATGTGTATAACAGCTGGCTCGCTGCTGGCTGCTGCTGACTGGATGCCCTAAGGCGAGCTGCTGCTGACTGGATGCCCTAAGGCGAGCTGGTGCTGAATCGATCGATCGGTTGAGCGTGTGTATAACAGCTGGCTCGCTGCTGGCTACACACACACACACACGAACACACACACACGCGAGCGATTGCATGACCTCCGTTTGCGCGGAGGTAATTATGGTTTTCGTGTGCCATGTGTTTTGGTGCTGCACTATGTGCACAATCAGTTCACGAGAATCTCATGCATCATTTTCCTATCTGTAGGATAAAGACCAGAGAAGTATGGATCTGGACACAGCAAAGGCAATGCTGTCATTATTACTAGGTCGACAATGGGTCCTCTACAGCTCTTTTCATCAATTTTTAGAAGTGAGTCGTTCGTTTGCCACATATCGTGTCTTTAGCAAGAAGTGTACTTTAGAGACATCTATTTATATATTTGGCGCTTGTCCTACTGCTGCTGCTGCTGCTGCTGCTGCTGTGGCTGCTACGGCGATGCACTTGGTCGTGATTGGTCGAGACTGGTGCGTGCGCCGTAACACGGTACGCCCATATCACTTGGTCGATATTACTGGTGCATGCACCCGTGTACACATCTACCGCGTGCGTACCAGTACTACAGCATGCATGTTTATCGATCGTAAGACATCGTGGCTCCATCTTCTGGGAATTTGTCTCGGCTCTCAAGCGGGGCATTATTCTAACCCGTAGCCGAGGCAGCTCGTGTTATTATAAAATTCACCCTTGATTACTACTGTAAGTCTCACCGTCGTCTCGGGTTTTTGCTGGTAATGGAAGGTGACAATAGCGTTTTGCTGAGATGTTTATATGAATGTGTTGTTTGCGCGTGTGTTGCAGCAATCAAAGTATAGAGTGATAAACAAAGACCAGTGGTGCAACGTGCTCGAGTTCTCCCGGACAATCCTTCCAGATCTCTCGAACTACGACGTCGACGGTGCTTGTAAGTGTCCAACTTGTAAAGCAACACATGTAATTATTGTCATAAAGCCAACTAAATCTCCCCTCTCTCCCCATCTACTCCTGCGATATTGCTCTAGCAAAATTCCAAGTTCGAACTCGGGCCATCACACCACTGTGCCGGGCAATGAATTCTACTTGACTGCCTTTCATACCTGCGTTCCATACACCTGTCTATGATTGCTTTTGTGTGTTTTCCCAGGGCCTGTACTACTAGACGAGTTTGTGGAGTGGCTAAAGTCGAAACGCCAACAGACAACGACATTACCGCCACTGTAGTCGTGGCTTGAGCAGGATGATGCTAGACTCTTTTACTCGCGTGGACCCCCGCATGTCGTCGCAATCGGCAGCAGGCAGCTGGCTTCCGTAATGCGGGTCGTTCGCCCTCTCACGTCTGCTGCGCAGTCGTGCGAGTCGGTGTGCGGCAGTCATCTGAGTCAGTGCGCGGCAGTGGACGTCGCACCAGAATCGAAGAAGACGCGGCGCGTTCGACGATGAGACTAAACGGTAAACGCGTCACCGTTGCCACGGCGATGCATCCTCCCCGGGGTCGTGTGGGGAACACGACGCCACGGCAACCCATGCACCACTTCCCCACCGAGGAGGAGGCGTGGCCTGTGGGTTCTTCGAGCGAGCACCACCGCCAAGTTGTCGTTATCGCGCCGATGGATTCGGATGGTGCGTCGACGAGAAGGGTGCTTTGTCTTGTGCACACAGAGGATGCAGTGGTGTGTGCCTGCCTGCATGTCATCTGTCATTGGCATCAGCGTTGGACTGTCACGGCTAGAGTCGCCACTCCGTTGCTGCTATGTCGAGCATTGCCATAAAGTCGGCACTGTTTGAGCTGCTGTGGATGTCTTCCACCAGGTGGCGTGTGTCCACGATTGTGCGCCCCCTGGTGGCTGGTGTGGAGAGGTGTGTTTGCGAATGCATTTTGCTGTACGGCTGTTGTCAAAGGTGTGGTGAGAGACAAGGTGCGCCACGTTCGGTCATCCACTCTTATGTACAGGTGACCGTCATATAGAAGTGCACATGTATGTATATAATATGTATATATACATACAGGGTGCGAAATTAACGGGAGTCCGGAGTCAAATACTCCATGATTTACTGTCGGACTCCCTGATTTGACATATGCAGGAGTCCGTGTGACTCCCTGAAAATTCTGCCATGCTAACTAGTTCGTTCCGGAGCATGGCCTCGCGGAATTACTGTATTTTTTCAGCTAATGTGCAAAGAAAATTTGGCAGACATGCAACTGCATGAATCTTCAAAATAAGCACATGCGTTATTGTTAATATCTTTAATTTTGAACCTCAGACTGCAGACTCCCTCATTTTGCTGCAGAGTCCCTCTTTTTGAGAAACGGACTCCCTTGTTCAAAAGTTAATTTCTACCCCTGTACATACGTGCGTGTGCGTGCATAAGTGCATGCGTGTGTTGTGTGTGCGCTTGCATATGTGTGTATACACATTGCATGCATGTACATACATGCACGCACGAACGCACACACACACACGTATATATATTTAAAAAAATAATATATATATATATATATATATATACATATATGAGCAGTTGCCTGTTGGTGCCGGTTGTTATTTTAGCATCGATAGATCGTTTTATCGACACCATTATGTGCTGCAGGGACAGGCACACGACTGTGTCATAATCATTGACAACTTTTGCCTGAGAAAACTGTCGCAGCCGCATGATCAGTTCAGCTTTACTATTACGTTGGCAACCTGCTTTTCACCCCACCGGCACCCCATCTGCAACATTTCTCTGAAGTAAAATGGTTGTGTAAGGATCGTGGAGGGCCAAATTGCTTCAGATTGTGTTCACGATTACAAGTAGCAGCAAATTTATGTGTTATACTGCGATGTTGTTGCTTCTTACCTCACAGTGCTCCAACTAGCTTCTTCAGTCCACCCTTAATTATTACCACGTAGTCATGTATGATTTGTTTACATACGGCTGTATAAACAAGTATTGTACATTAGCAGTAGTTCTCACAAATTTGCATCGTCCGCTTACCATTTATGCTTTTGGTTTAGTTGTTGTGTTTTTATATGAACTACAAATCTGTGGCTATTTGTTAAAATTAGCTAAATGTCAGGTACACTTTACATTCATTTCATATATCATTCATTTGCAACCGTTGTGCTTTCTGCGCGGACAAAGACGTAGGAAATTGATATTACCAACGCGTATATGTCCAAGAAAAGAGTTGCTGCCGTATTCCTTCTTGATAATAGTTCTTTGAATTGTAAAAGCTTCATCATCAAAACACGGCGACATTGTTTACACATATAAAACCTTGGCAGTTGTGCAAGCGTAAGTGCTAGCTGCTAATTAGATGTGTGTAGATGACATCAGGAGTGAATAATAATAGATAATAATTTATTTATATAAATCGGCAGCGACTGACTGGACACACTAGGCGATTTCACCGGCGATTTAGTCGCCTGATTTAATCGCCCGATAAAATTGCCTAGTGTGTCCGGCCCTTTGCACATTCATTGAGAATACTTCTACGACTAAATTATCACTTTTTTTATGTAGAAGTGAACTACTGTAACCCTGGACTGGAACATTGGAAGTTCCTCCCGAACACCTTTCAGACATCCCTTGTGAGTAGCAAGTTTAGTTGATAGTTCAAAGGATTTTCACCCTTTGTTATAGTAATCCCCTATTTAGCTGGGCTGGAGTTGTGAGTACGTGCGAGTTAAACGATGAAATTTAATTTATCCCTGTTGAAAGTGCAAGTCTAACTTACAAATAACTACCCATGTCAATAAAGATTATGAAAGAAGAAAAATCTTTTAAAAAATAGGTCCAATATGTCTGCGCGATAGATGGTCATGCATATCTGTCCAGTGGGATTGCTTCCTGGTCCTGTTATATTGTGTTGTAACTGTGTGTTCGCGTTGCTTTGAAGACGCTCCAGGATCAGTCGACCGTGCTACCTCAGCAGGCACCCTCTGGTACAATGCCACGACGACGACGAGTCTCTAACGACGACTCAACAAGGTCTTACAAGCGTGCTAAAGCCAACTCAAGGTAGGCGCTATCAACGCATGCAGCGATCAAATCCTAATGCAACAAACAATATATAGAATAGCACATTTTTATGTGTCCAGCGATTAGTATGACGAGCAACTTACAAGGGTCAATGTGTACAAAGGTATATGTTTGGCATATAGAGCTTACAATGAGTATGTAACATTGCATAATATAAAAGACTTGTTAACATATTATATATATGCACTGTTTTATCTGGCATATTGCACAATGTTTATTGGTACCTAATATACAATAAACTACATTGTTGCCGAAAAAGAGTATTGCAAAGGCCAATGTGTGTGCGTGTGTGTGTGCGTGTGTGTGTGCGTGTGTGTGTGCGTGTGCGTGCGTGCGTCTGTGTGGTAGGAAATGATATTCAGTTTGTCGTGAAATTAGGGTTAAAGTGACAGAAATCATACTGGTACTGAATGGTATATATAACCATAGTCTTTGCTATATTTGGCTTTATGTAAGTCTTTCTTCTGAATTCGATAATTTGGATGAGCTTACACAACACCATTTTTACTCATGGTTTAGCTGCTGTCGGACATATAATTAAATAAATATCAGGACTGAATAAAAACATTCGAGTGCGCAAGGCTTTATTATTGGAATTCCAATATGTTAGCCTTTATCTAAAGACAATTTATTATAGGGTATCTATGTGCACAGCAACTTGTTTACGAATTGTACAGAAACATGCATGGTGTATGTACCATACATATTGCATGACATCACATTTTTACTTTTAGCTAACAGATTATAATAGATAGGCTGTGTGCATAGTCAACGGTAATCTTCATGCAGAATTGGTTCAGGTTTGATTATTTGTCTCCAGGTTTAATCGCTGCTGTCGTAACCGGCTGCTGGGTTTAACAACACCCTGCAGAAGTCAGGGCTGGTTTGTTAGGAGACTAGTGGATAACTTTCCCTGGTGCAGGAGCTGTTATACTCGTTTAGACTGCATTTTCTGCTGTCCTCGATTTCATTCAGCCCCTGCCGGCTCTCGTGTGCCGGTTCCAGATTTTCCCTGTGGGTTCAGCTTGGAGAAGGGAAGCCGATGCCCATTGCTTGGAGTTAGATGTCAATCATTGCCAGTGGGCCACGCCTCCCACTGCCTGCATCCTTACTGGTGTATATAGGCCAGCTATATGGGTATCAACTTTGGGCTATTCCTACACAGATCTATATATAGCAGGGACGAACCAAGTACGCTTAGTATGTATTTTGCGGAAAACTTTGTATGCCTTTTTCGCAACTGAAATCATATTTGACATTGTAAGTATTGATGTTCTGATTATCTCTTAACTACTTTCTAAGTAGAGTAAGTCATTTACAAGTGTTATAGTACGTAATGAATCTTAAGGACGCGTCTGTGAGTGTCGTCGCTCACGCAGTGAGTGAGGATAATATATTATGCAGTGTTGTGAAGTTGGCAGGCTTAAATGCCGCTATACAAGTTGTTCGTAGCAAAGCACTCCAAGCAAAGCACGTTGCTTCGTTTGGAGTTCGTGTCTGGTTCACCGTCTGTTATGTCCATCGAATACACCAATCATCTGTCACCCACCTCTTCTCACTAAGACACCCATTTATGTCTCTCCCGGGTTAGGAAACCAGTGCTTGGCACAGGGGAGCTCAATCGGTGTATATTTTACTAGTGGCAGTGTGATGGGCCAGGTGCCTGCTACTGCATATATATGTAGTGCCCTAGTCGTATCGTGAAGCTATGTACAATGAATGATACTCTGCTAGATCTATACGTGACAGCAGTCCAGGTTCGTGGCTAGTTTAGCAGGGCTGAATGTTTTAATGTAGACGGCTCCCACTGTGGAAGAACATCAGTGCGTTGCTGCTCTGTCTACATTCCCCCTGTCTGATGCAATAATTTTTGAAACATTAAATATGAGATGCCCTGGAGGTATGACCTTGAAAGTGTTGGGCAGTTTCACGTAAATACAGGGTTCTGTGTGCATGTATGTCTATGAACGCTGCTGCTGCAGGTCATGGCAAGGAACCTTGCTACAACTTTCACACGTGTGTCTACGTGTATATCTGTATTGTGTGCGTAGCACCCTGCAGCTGCTGAGTTCAGGCGAGTTCATATAAGTGGCCATGACGCAAACCCGCTTCGGTTATCTCTCTGTACGTGTGTTGTGACGTGATTTACTCCGCACGCGTGGATGCATGCTTTTCATCATCGTACATGAATAATAGCAGGAGTGAATCATAGAGATTATATCTAGATATATCTATCTATCTATCTATCTATCTATATATATCAGAAGTAGATAATAGGGATTCCCTATTATCTACTTCTGATATATATCTATATATACCTATAGAGAGATCTCTATTATTCACTGATAATAGCAGTTCAGATGCCAAATATTCGATTGTGCGTATACACATGCAGACTCTCGCACAGATTTCCACGCACACATACACGTGGGTTCATCTTACAGAGTTAATATTTGCCTGTGTGCTCACTAGATGCAGAACCACGTAGAGCGTTGTGTAATACATAGGTATGCAATCCGAGCTCTAGCTTTTAGAGTGAGAGTGTGAGCGAGCCTATATTGTAGGAAATCAAGAACATGCTGATTGTCAGTATTCTTAGCATTATCTCATTGAATCCACTAGCATCTAATAGGCAAGGGTGCATTCGTGCAGCTATGCATGCAGAGAGATATAGAGAAGAGGCGAGAGAAAGAGAGAGAGAGAGAGATATGAAGAGTGAGTGCGTGATAAAGAGAGAGAGAGAAAGAGAGAGAGAGAGACAGAAAGAAGAGAAGACAGGAGTGAAGAGAGAGAGAAGAAGGAGAGAGAGAGAGAAGAGAGAGAGAGAGAGAGAGAGAGGAGAGAGAGAGAGAGAGAGAGAGAGAGAGGAAGAGAGAAGAGAGAGAGAGAGAGAGAGAGGCGAGAGATAATGAGAGAGAGTGCTATGAAGAGAGTGAAAGAGATAGAGCTGGAATGCATTTATTCGTTATTTTTTTTTCTTTTTGCCTTTACAGTGTCTAGAAAGTCGGCTAGCTCGCGTCGCTCACGCAAGTCTTCCA